TGCAAAGTTGTGACAGTTCTGTTTTTGCTTTGCCATTATGGTGTATGCAAGTGTAGATTGATGTGGGGAAAAAAATATTTAAAGCAGTTTAACATAAGGCTGCAATATAACAAAACATGAAGAAAAAAAATGAAGGGGTTTGAATACTTTCGCAAAGCACTGTATATATACATAGTATGATATAGGAGAATATGAAGGTAGGACAAAACAAGAAAGACAAAGGCCCAAACTGAGCATAAATATGGTGGAGTAAATAATTTGGTGAGTTGCTGATATGGCAAAAAGTACGATTTTATGTAAAAAGTATGACAATTTGAATAATTTATAATGTAATTCAGTTATACCTTTGTAACAGTATAGAACACTACTTACATAAAATGCACATAAATAACAATTGTCGCTCTATATCTAACAAAGAATATCTTCACTAACACAGTGAACCAGAAGTGTTAGATCCTGAAATCGTTCATTTACCAGCCTACACCTTTAACCATAGACACATCTACACAAGTGTCCGTTAGGGTCTCATTGAAGATATCAATCTGACTCCATAACTCTCATTTTATATCATATCATTTTTGAATCAATCCTTGAGGATTATTGTTCTGTTTCTTAGAAGAAATATAAGATATTTCAGATTTTTATTTGATCTTTTTCATTGCTAATATCTTTTGTGTTTATTATAACTAGTATAATAGAATTTCACTTGTATATACTACAAATAACTTAATTGTGTTGCTTTTAAACAGCAAGTTTGAAAATAGAAAAATGTAAAATAATCTGTCATAAAACTCATATGTATTTTAACCACTAGGTGGCAGTATGACTCTATTGTGTCGTGTGCCATTTTTGCCTGTTGACTATTAAACATTTCAAACACTACCATTTTGTTGTCCGTGGAGGTGGGATTATTAGTATTTTTGTCAAATTAAAAAATAGATATAAAAAAATAGATAACTGAAGCAAGAGACTTTTAATTTTAAATGAACATTGCATGACAGAGAGCTACATTTTTAGACTATGTGTTGAACTCATACAATTGCACAGTAAAATATCAAACCAATCCACACCCACTGAAAGGAAAAAAACTATTACATTTCAGTGTTGAAATGAATAAATGAGTACATGGCACACTTTAACATATGGCTAATGTGTGTGTG